TTTTTTTTTTTTTTTTCTGTAATGCCCTTGATAGTCCAAAAGGTCTGGTATTCAAAAAGCACTAGTACATGTGCTTTTGACTTTCATTAGATTTTATTTGATTTGCTAATCTTTACTTGGTATAATTGCAAATATGGTATACTAAAAGAGGTAGCAGAATAAGGAAGGAGACCCATGGGTAGATAAATAGGTCAAGATTGATATATACAACTATTGGAAGCCTTCAAAGGTTTGGATCCTGACTATTAAAATGCCATTGCTGAAAAAAAAAATGCCATTACTGGTAATTACTCTGTTACTAAAACTTAGGGAAACTTTAAAGATACATTTTCATGTCAGCTGATAGCCACCTTCTCTAGTCAGTCCCTACACTAGGATACACATAAGCATAGTGCTGTTATTTTTTCTATCTTCTGCTAATTAGATTACCTCATTGAACCACTTTTTCCTTAATACCTACCTAAAAATTATCAAATAATATTTTCATAAGGATTATATACTGCTAATAAACACCCAATTTCTATAAATCAACTTCGTTCTTCATTCTATAAGACACTTTCAGGATAATATATATATATTTCAGGATAATATATATATTATAAATATATATAAATAATTATATAATATATATATTTATAGAACAGTGAGTGTATATAAATATATGGGTCTATGTGTGTGTGTGTGTTCTCCTAGAGTCAAAAGTTCAATGTTTTATGCTATGTAAATTTGGTAATGGCCAATGTTACCACATTGGCCAAGCAAGAACATGGTAAGTTTCTTTAAACAGTATGGTCAGTGGGTTACTATAGTGAGCTTGATCTCTGCATTTTTAGTTTCAGAGATACTTATAATTCTAAGTTGCACCATACATAGCTATTAAAGGTAAATGAAACAGCAGGGGCATGGTTCTAATTGCTTAGTAAACAATTGTAGGAAAGTGTTTATTAAAGCTGGCTCTCAAGTGACAGATAAATACATAGTTCTATCACACATGCTAAATTCAGCATGCTGCAAGCTTAAAAGCAGATAGATCAAGAGATATTTTAAAAATCATAAAGACAAAATACAGTTATGTCAGTATGTGACAGGAGAATAATTTTGCCTTAAAAGTGATCTCCCCAACCCCCTGAAGAACATGCAACCACAATTTATGGAACAAAATTAAAAGCAAGTTGGGTATGTTCCATTTTTTAACTCATCTGGCATCAAGTTAAAATTAAATGGGCTGTTGTTAAATTAATATACAAATGAATCCATTATAAACAAAAAACTACATCACAGATTCACTGATGTATAATTCATATTTATTAATGTATGATGTTTAATTCTTAAAAAAAACAAAAAACACACAAAACAAGCTACTAAACAGATTCTTTCATGCACTTCTTTTTCTACCTCACAAGGTTCTGCTGCATAATTTTTAGAGGAGTTCCCTTATTCAGGGTTGGCATAGGTTGTTCAATTTTCATTGTCCAGAGCCATATTTACAGAAAGATGTACAAATATTGTAGATAGTAGGCTGTACAACCTTCACATGATTAAAACTTCAGTTCCTTGGTTTTCTAGAGCTTTGTGTAAATGCCAATAAGTTTGAGAGTTCATCCAACTGTGCCTCTTAACCTTTGTTCCCATAGGTGAAGGGCAGGATTTTTAATCAAGTAGCAATTTATCTTTAATTAGGAAAACATAATTAGGTATTATCATCTAATTGCAATTACTGGTTGGAGAAAGTCACATTTCACAAGTAGTGACCCATGCTGGATTATCGTTCTCCTATTACTGAATTTTGAATCTGTATTTGTATTTGGCAGATAGCCAATACAAATTCAAAGGCAATCACCATGCCTCTCTGCAATCCTGCTGTCAGAGTCACCAACTCCACTGCTGAATAGGTAAAAGAGATACTTCCTAAGCCACATATTGGCTATATCTGTTTCCTGCTAAGACATCAAGTGTAGATCAAAAATAATTGTATACAAAAAAAAAAAACACCCCATGTGAAGTAGGTTAGAGAACTGTTCCACACTTCATTTCTGGTACAGTTAAAAACAGTTTAATGTCTCAAGGCACCACTATGGTTGAACATCAGATACACGGGTAATCAGCTAATCTTCTACTATGCTGTAAAGTCAGTAAATAGCTTGTGCAATTGTGAAAAGCAATCTCTAAAGGACTGTTAGATATACAGGAGGCACGTAGATTATAATACAAATAGAAAACAATGAGTCCTAGAAAAAGCATGTTGAGCACCGTTGTGGCATTGTTTGTGTTTCTTTACCTAACACTACGTAAACTTTACATTTACAAAAGGAAAGACTAACTTTTTAAAGTTACACTCAAGGTTGCTTTTTGTGCTGTCTCCAAGTAAGTGAATCTAGTTCGTAGGTGTACTTTTAGAAGTTGTTGGATCCGGATCGGCTTCTGTCCCACTGGTAGATTCATTCAAGTGTGAGCTTAAGTTTTCTGACGTTAGGTGGGAAGACTTGTAGACAATTTCGTTGAAGTCAGACCTGATGCAAACCAAAGGAGGGTCATTCAGTGGGTCTTCCACTGAGGCCTGTGTGTTCTCTCGAGTGATCCCCATGTCCTTGCTATGTTCTGACGGTGATTTTCTTTTCATGCGAGTATAAGTTTTGTCTTGATTCTCCATGCCTTGCTCATTTTTCAAAAACCGTCCAAAGAACCAAATGAAGAATCCAAACCACACAAAAGCTATTAAACTCGGAACAAAAGCCAGACACTTGACATCAAGGCTAGCCCCTATGAACCTGCTGTGTAAGAACATATCTCCCTCAACATATGTTTTATTAGTCCGAGGGTTAGTGTGATTGGACCTCCATTCCCAGGAAAGTTTGGTTCTGTTCAAATCCTTTAAACTTTCGGAGTCTTTCACTGTGTATATCTTCTGCCCTGGGCCTATATACTGTCCGTATTCATGAGGCTTATAAAATATCTGGTTCTTCCACATATTAAGATCCAAAATCAGGACGAGAAAGATAATTCCATAGTTAAACCATTTACCTGCATTAAAAAAAAATACCGCATATTAGTCAAAGACCTATAAAACTGCAATAGGGTTTTTTTCCCCAATAAAATGGAGATAATGGTATAATAGTATAAATTGTTCATGTCTTAGATCTGTTAGCATTTTTTTGAGAGTGCTATGCTGCCATTAAGTGAATTGGCAAAGGATATTTCCTAAATGTATTCTAGACCACATGAGAATGTAACTGTAGGTCCCAGAGTCAATAATTTATGCTGTTTATACTAACCAGATTAAGCTGCCTTGTTTTGTAGGTACCACAGCCATACTCAAATTTGGTTCCATGTAGGTTATTCTCTAGAATATCTCAATTAATATTTAAAAAACAAAGTTATAATTAAATTCTTAGAAAAGTCTAACATCTGATTGAACATCTCTTACAGTTTTATAATTGTGTCTAGACAAGAAATCATTTTGCAATGCAAACACAGCAGTATATCAATTGAATTCACATTGCTGTTTGTAGGTGACCTGTTGATTAAACCGTTAGTTGATGTGACTCAGATCAATAATTCTTGAGCATTCATTTCAAGACTTTAAAAATAATTGCATCAAATCTCATTGAACAGAATCCATTTATCAGACATATAAATACAACCAAAGCCAATAAACTGCTTTAGAAGAGATGATTTGGAGAGATTGTAACCGCTATAATTTCTTTGTAGTATTTAAAATTCTCATGCAAATAAGACCTTGTTTAGAGGCATATTATCTATGATATCCCTACATCTGCAAATGAAAAAGAACATAGGGAAATTTTCAAGGGATACTAGATTCAATCATAATTTTATTATAATCACAATTTATTGCAAGCTTTACAATATCAAGTATATCATGATATGGTAATACCTTATAGGTTTGCTGTAGCAAAATAGGTGATACATTTTGCTATCACCTATAGCAAACAGGTGCTATATTGCTATATATAGCAATATATATATATATTGCTTTAGTTCCAAAAGCTCCAAAAGCTTTAGTTATAAATGTTAAATATAGTATGTCAAATTATTTTATTTTGTATCTGAAGATAACAGTATTGAACATGATTAAGTTACTGCTTCACAAGATTATAGAGCTCTTGGGACAAAAGAGAGAATCTTGGGCAAACTTATTAAACCATTCTAATGAATTTTTGCAATATGTATTCTAACAGAACATAGAGCTATATAAAAATATAACTTTGTGAGGAGTTTGGGAAAGTGTTTTATCATCATCTTTATACATTTTCAAGTTCCTACTCTATGCAAAATTGAAAGGTTTTAATCCTGGCTCTAAAACTTACTAGCTATGTGATCTTGGGCTAGTTGTTTAAATTCTCTAAACCTCAGTATCTTTGCATGCAGAAAATAACAGTATTTACTAAAGCTGTTAGTATTTCATAAGATAATTAGATGCTAAACGCAGTGCCTGGTACATAATAGAAACTCAGTAATTGTTACTGTTATGAACACGAAAGCCTTGCCTAAGACGTGATAATGTCTGCATTTGCATAGGAAGGTACAACTTCTCTATCAAGAGAATTTATCTAAACTATCTGAAGGGAAATTATAACTCTGCCAATCCTGAAATTGTTCAGCTATACAATTGTTAAAGTCTTTGTAGTGGAAACTCTTGCCCAAATGATTTATTTTGCATACCCACACTAGAGAGTAAGTTGAAACATTGGGAATGTTGTTTGCACATATGATAAACTATTTATAACATCTGGCACTGCTAAGCTCTAACCACTCCTGCTCTCCTGGAGTCATAGCCAAAACTAAAAGAGATTCTCACTAAGAATCAACCATAAAATGAGTAAAGAAAGCTCAAGCTAGTGAAATTCAATCAAATACAAAGGTAAGCAGCATTATCAAACATTTATTGTGCTCATAATAGACTCTGTTTTAGGATACCTTAGTAGATGCTGAGGACATACATTTTTGCCTTACAGGGGGGAACTCATTATCTTGTTAGGGTAACAGAACAGTGGCATCAACAGATAAATAGTAGGAAGAGGCCACATTTGTGAGGCACCAACTGAGTGTTACAAATGGTAAACACTGAAGATGTTGGGAAAATGTAATGAAGACTGAGGGCTAATTTCTGCAGAAAGGATTTTTGTAGGAAGTAGTAATTCATGTGGTCCTGAAAGGGAAAGAAGGACAGAGAATAGCCTGGAAAATATTGCATTTCTTTAGTTTGTTTTTATTATGCTGCAAATAGAATAGCATACAGGAAAAGATCAGGTGATACTAAAGAGGAGAGAGAAAGAAAGTAATGGAGAATACTGTAGGAAGAGAAAACAGGAGAGGAATGAGAGGCAAGTGAATTAAAAAGTTCTGAGGTTCTTGGGGCGCCTGGTGGCTCAGTCAGTTAAATGTCCACCTTCAGCTCAGATCATGATCTCATGGTTCATGGGTTTGAGCCCCTCGTTGGGCTCTATGCTGACGGTTCAGAGCCTGGAGCCTGCTTTGGATTCTGTGTCTCCCTCTCTCTTTGCCCCCCCCCAAACATAACACTTAATAACATTAAAAAAAAAGTTCTGAGGTTCTCATCATTATCAATGAGGCAATAGTTTGTAGCTTCCATGAAAGCAAGTTGAGAGAGGGGCTTTGGGTGCTTCTCTGTTGCAGCAGATTCATACCTACTCTCTTGCTGTAAACTACATATGCTGATGGTGAGGAAGAATTTTTATGACTGACCATCACCTTGACTCACAAAGGTCCCTTGGAGAAACTTGTACTCTCTCTCTAAGTCATTGTTATTGATGCAAGAATAGGGCAGTCCCTCATAAAGTGGGCCCTGTATCTAGGGTATCAGAAACCAGTGATAAGTACTGTCACAAAATCAGGGAGAAGAAAGGATGCTCACTGAGCTTGGGGAATGGTGCTTTTCTGGTGGGAAAAGATGCTCAGAGAATGTCAATAAAGAAGGGAAAAGATAACATCGGAGCATAAAAATTGTACACTGACCAAACTAGTAAGAAACCCTCAGGATAGGAGGAGCTCTCCCCCACACTTTCTACACTATTGTTCCACCACCTAAGTTGAATGGTGCACTGGGTCACTTTGACAACCAAACTTTAAAGAATCACTTTATTTTATTTATCATGTGATCTGGAGCCTGAAAATTTAGATGGGATGGAGGAGGAACAAATTAGAAATGTGTTTTCTGACATCAGCTAATGGGTATAATCAGCCCGCTGTAACACATCTTTCCTGATCCTTGAGACAGAAAACCACAGTCAAAAACTGCAGGCTGGAAATCAGCAGATAAAGATCTCATTCTAATATGAAAATAATACAACCTTGGGTTACCTGTTTAACCTCTCCAGGCCTCAATAATTTTATTTTCAAATTGAGGAAATTGATCCAGATGACTTCCAGTTCTATGATTCTGTCCTTCCCCCCCACCCCGAATCCTTCTAGTTAGTAGCTATTCAATTTTTAATTCTGTGAAATGGAGAATGATACCAACATAACGATCTCGAAGGATTATTCTGAGGATAAAATAAGTTTATATCTGAAAGTCCTCTGAAATCTATTAAATTTGCCAGAAATGTAGAGGAGTATTTTTTCTACAGTTTCCTTCCTTTATATCTTCAATCCAGTTAATATAGGATCTTGGTGATATAGGGAGAGAAGAGCATGTAAGGGTTTGTAACAAAGATATATCCTAAAGGTGATCAAATGTTTCAGTTTGGATAAAACAGCATGAATCATTGAGCTATAACTGGACCCGTTATCTAAGAGGACTAAGTGTATAGTTACATGTAAACATGCTTTGTGAATCAGCATATTTCATATGTTGAAAATTCTTAGCAACTGGTAATTTGTCTACAACTTGCAGGAGAGTAGTCTAGAGATAGGTCAACTATATACAAAAATTTTGAGGCTAAAGAACAGGAACCTGTCTCCAAGTCTCCTGCACAGCTGAGTGGCCATGTTGGGGTGGGGAAGTGCAGAAGGGAGAGAACAGAGTGAGGCAGGCTTCCTACTGACATCACGTTTCCTTTCTTTTCTTCTGTGGATGTAGCACTGTCTCTACCTCTCCTGCCCCCAAGCATCCCCCCCCCCCCCCCGCCACTGTCAAACCAGTCAGCTGAAACTTGGAGCTGGTAAAAATGCACAAGCAGTGGCTTTTCCTACTTTGTTTGTTTGTTTCCCGTCCACATAACATAACCGCTGGTCCACTTACGCATTTACGCAGAGGAAGGATATTCTTTTTTGCTAACATCCTTCCTTCTATTTTCCCACATAGTGTTTTGTTACTTTTGTAATGCGTTCTCTCCTCTTTAAAAAATTACTTTTGCCCTGTGATATGTGGCGAACCAGTAAGCAAAACAGCTTACTTGTCACACAAGACAGCTCAACCCCACTGTTCTTGTCTATAAAGTGAGGGAGCTGAGCTATATGACCCTACTGGTTTCTCCCCAGCCCTAAACATCTCTTTGATAAGTCTGTGAAATAAACATCACCTAAACCTTAACATTTTATGATGGGCCAGGAAATCTCACCATTAGAGCAAAAAAGATGGAATCCACAAATTTTCATGCAGAGAAAGCTTTCCTTAAAAAAAAAATGTATATTCTGAGAAACACTGTTTACCATAAAAAGTAAATCTGAGTCCCTGAAATGACCCACATGGAAAGGGGATCAGACACAAAAAGGAAAATAAGTGATCTCTTGCCATTTCCCAAGTGTGTTGTTGTGAATGTACAGTCAACCATAACAAGAGCCTTGGTATTTCAGCATTAATCATAGGAGAGATTTTGCATTTCCCCCTGTTGTTTCAACTACATAACATAATGTAAATCACCAAGGAGGGAGGGTAAGAATCCATACATTATTTCTATTAATCTCCTTGCTGAAATCTCTCACTGTCTCCTTTAATGAGAAATCACTGCATGGTGTTGGTGGGATTACCTCTTTCTTGCATTTTGTGCCTTTAATGAATCCTACTGATTGCCAAAAATGATATTATAATGGTAATTTTATCT